GGGAGGGTTAGCCACCCAGGATAACCCAAGAAAATCGGTGCGTCATCGAGGACTGTCTACCTTATTTCTGTTGCAGTCCTTCAGTCTTATTCCCCAGGATGCCACCCACACCAGTCAACTAACACCCAGGTACCTACTTACTGCTAGGTGAACGGGAACAGCAGGTGTAAGGACACACCCAATGTTTCCACCCGGCCGGGGATTGAACCGCAAACACTCAGTGTGCGAGGCGAGAGTGTTGCCTACTAGTCCACAGGACACTATGGGACCTTCTGTATGCACATCTAAATGTCACCTATCTCTGTACAAACATTGTATCATTCTGAAATATAGACTTTAAATATCAATCTGAGAATTGCTTCTTATTCTATCCTAGAGTTATGAGGTCTGGAGTTTGAATCTCCGGTACAGCTGGCCAAAATTAGGGACGTCTTTCCATAAGACACCTGCTGTCCCTGTTCACCCATCAGTATAAAATGGGTACTTGGGTGTTAGTGGACTGGTGTGGGTCAAATTCAAATTCAAATTCAAATTCAAAGTTTATTCTCTATAAGGATTACAATGCTGAGTTTACAGAAATTTGGTTATTGTTTGGTTTACATGTAGTAAAATTGTGATTACAGAGTGTACCACTAGAACGCTTAGCATGGCTAGGCATTTCGGGCATACTTAGTTTTATTCTTAATTGTAAAATATTACAAATTATGAGGTAAGTTGGTATTATGGCTAAGTGACTAAATACTAGTTTGTGAGTTTAGCAATGTGAATGCTTTTGTTTTGGCACAGTACATAGTTTCAGTATTGGAGTATCACAGGATTCATTATTTTAAGATGAGATTAATATTTCTGTTTATGGTCAAATGAGTGAGTGAGTGTAAGTGGAACCACCAGGTGGTATTCGTGTAGTTAGTTGACGGGGTGTATCAGGGAGATAAGATGTTTTCTAATGGTAGTTTTGAAGGTGATGAATGTGTCTGCAGTTCTAGAGTTCTCAGGTAGGGTATTCCAGATTTTAGGGCCTTTGACATACATTGAATTTTTGTAAAGGTTTAGTCGGACACGGGGAATGTCGTAGAGATGTTTGGTCTGGTGTTATGCCTGGGGTTCTGTCACAACTATCAAGAAAGCGTTTTAGGTCAAGGTTGATATTAGAGTTTAAGGCCTTGTAGATGTAGATTGCACAGTAGTAAGTGTGGATGTACTGAACTGGGAGTAAATTTAGATCTATGAAGAGTGGGGGGGTGTGTTCCCAGGGATGGGATTTAGTGATTATTCTTACTGCAGCTTTTTGTTGGGTTATTATTGGCTTTAGGTGTGTTGCTGCAGTTGATCCCCAAGCACAAATAGCATGGGTGAGGTATGGATAAAATGTGAGGGGTAAGTGTGAGAAGGGCATTTTGCGGCACGTATCGTATCTTGGAGAGGATCCCAACCGTTTTGGATACTTTTTTGGCTATATGCTGGATAGGGTGCTGAAATTCAGGTTGTTGTCAAGGTAAAAGCCTAGGAATTTTCCCCCATTATTTCTGGTAATTAGAGTGTTGTCAATCTTAATGTTAATTTGTGCATCTCCTGCTCTGCTCCCAAACATAATATAGTAGGTTTTGTCAGTGTTAATTTTGGGTTTTTGGCGTTAGTCTCACGGGGGTCGATATTTTAATTTCAGCCCTCAACCCAAATGGGGAGGGTGGCCCCAAAAAAACTAGGGTGGGATGAAAAAATCGGGGCCCACAGCAAAGAGAAGGTTTCATTTTTTTAAAAAACGCGTTTGGAAGGTTTTTTGAGGGTATTTATGGACGGGCGGCCAAGACATTGGGAACTAGTATCAAATTGGTGTTTGACTGGTTTTACAATGGTAAGTGCTGAATATTAGTAAGTAGTTTGAAATGCAACCAAATCCCCAAATAAAACCCTAGTGACAATTTGTGGAATAACCTTTCAACTGGAGTCAAAATTTCTTAAGGTCAAAAATTTTTTATACCTTTTTTTTCCCAAAATGCAGTGTTGCTAACAGTAAATCTTTTTTTTTTTGTGAGATAAAAATTAAAAGGGGGAAAGCAAAAGAATATAAGAGGGGCCTTGAGACGTACTAATGACTGAGGAAAGTCATTTTAGTGCCGGGAAATGTCTTTCTTGTTTATTCTGGACCCTATTCCAAAATTGGCATTTTTTAAAAATTTGTGTAAAATTTTGGAAAAAATTGCAAAATTCTGACCACTGTAGGGATAGTTGAATTTATAAAGGGTGGTTTCTTGCCCCATTCGATAGAAAAATGGAGTTCTGCGAAAATTATTTTTTTTGTCGATGTACAGGAAATTGGCCGAAAAGGGGGGCTAAAAGTGGGCAAAATCGCCGATCCGTAAACTCGCGGACGCAAACTTTGCGAGAGCATAATTCCGAAATTTTTTTATCAATTTAATTTTTGGGTGTCGTTAGTCGGGAAAAGATTCTCTATCTTTTCATAAGAGAAAATAATTTTTTTTTTTTTAAATTTGGCCGACCTGAGAAGAGTTTCGGAGGGGCCTGTCGGCCCCTAAAAGGGGTTTTAGCGTAAGTTTATTGGCTGTCACCCAAGTCGATTTTTAATAGCCCCTCATTCACCAATGGTGTTGGGTGGCAAGATTAGGGTGAGAGATGACTAAGTCGTGTCATCGGGCAAAGAGAATGGGTTTCAGGTGTTGGATACGTTTGGAAGGTATGATGTATATGGGGAAAGAGCAGGGGACAAGGACACTTCCTTGCGGAACTCCGTATCAAGTGGCCGTGTTGCTGATGCTGTGTCTTTAATGGTGACGTACTGATACCTATTAGTAATGTAAGATTTGAAATAAGCAAGCGCATGGCCTCTTATATACCGTAGTGATCAAGTTTTGTGGAATAGGATGTCGTGGTCTACTGTGTCAAAAGCTTTTTCTTAGGTCAATAAAAATTCCTAGTGGATATTCCTTATTTTCCAATGCTGTGTAAAGCAGATCTAGCATTTTTATGATTGCATCATTAGTGCTTTTATTTTTCTGAATCCAAACTGGCAGGGGTTGAGTATGTTTTGAGCCGTTATAAATGAATACAGTTCTCCTGTGCACGAGTTTCTCAAGATTTTGGATAGCAATGGTAAGTTAGATATTGGCCTATAGTTGTTTAAGTCTGTAGGGTCACCACCTTTATGTATTGGTGTAACCCTTGCCATCTTGAGTAGTTTCGGGAAGGTGCTAGTCTCTATTGACTTGTTAAAAAGTAATGAAATAGCATGCGAAAGGGACATGGGCCGCTCGCTTTGTACAGTAATGGTGGGACATGAGAGATTCCCGAGTTATTTTTAAGTGACTTTATGATCTCAATGACTTCCGTGGGCTCAGTTGGTGCAAGATAGAAGGAATTAGGGAAATTTCCATCTAGGTAGTCCCTGGCATGGGCATTGGTATGTGGGATTTTACTGCGAGATTAGATCCTATGTTTGAGAAGAAGTCGTTTATCTTGTTAGCTGTGTCAGTGGGATGTAGTGGTGTTTCATTAGTTTTAGTTAGGACAATATTCTTGGTTTTTCTCAGTTTGTGGGTCCCTAGAATCTGAGAGAGTGTTTTCCAGGTCTTTTTTATATCTCCTCTAGTGTCTGTGAATCTACTGGAGTAGTATAGTTGTTTGGCTTTTTTTATCACTTTGGTGAGAGCTGATGAATAGTGTTTAAGAGTATCTTTGTGTATTAAGCCCTGTCTATATTGCTTTTCATATTGGTGTTTCTTGTCATTGGATTTCAGAATGGTGCTGGTTAGCCATGGGCAACCAAGCCGTTTGTTTGTGATCTGTTTTGTTTTTATAGGACAATGTTTGTTGTATAGTCTAAGTAATTTGTTAAGAAAATGTCTGTCCAGTCATCAAACCATTGGCCTTGGAGAATTCTGTAGGCCAGTCAACAGTCTCTAGGTCAGCTGTGAACTTCCTTACTGAGGCCTTGTCATGGAGTCTAAATGAGACTTTGTTGTATTCAAGTGGTGGTTTACTAATGTTTGTCAGGAGGAAGGTAGGGTAGTGGTCTGTAGTGCTATCTGTGATTATCCCTGATTTAAGGGGGGCTAGTATATTGGTCCATATGTGGTCTATTATGGTTGCACTTGTCTCAGTGAGCCTGGTTGGTTTCGTTATTGTTGGTATGAGAAGTGTGTTGTTCATATTGTTGATGAAATCAGTTACAGGCTGATCATCTAGTAAGCCAAGGTTGATGTTGAAGTCTCCAGCTAAGAGAAGGTGGTGCTTATTCATTTGTCTGTTTGTTATTAGTGACTTTAATTTCTCACTGAAATTTGGGATGTTTGTGTGAGGTATCCGGTAAATGGCACCGATTGTTATAAGCGTCACATCCTGGGTGTTAGTGGACTGGTGTGGGTCACATCCTGGGTGTTAGTGGACTGGTGTGGGTCACATCCTGGGTGTTAGTGGACTGGTGTGGCTCACATCCTAGGATAAAACTGACCTAATTTACGGAAAATGCTCAGGATAACAAGCGGCTTTCTGTATAGTAGTATGTTATTGATGTCAGCTATGATGTGTATACCTTGTACATGTAGAAATAAAGATTGTATTATTATTACAATGTCTAGTTCATACAGTCATATATTTTAAGTAGGTTTATTCAGCTACAGGTACACATAAAAACAGTTACACAGATTATCATACATAAGTAACATGTGTAAATTACCTAGGATAACCCAAAAGAAGTCAAAAAGTGGAAACATTGGGCATGTTTCCTTGCATGTGTTGTCTCTTTCATCTAGTAAGTATGTACCTGGATGGAAGTCGACTGGTGTGGGTAGCATCCTGGGGGACATGATTTAAGAACCCCAGTGGAAATAAGACAGTCCTCGATGACGCACTGCCTTTCTTGGGTTATCCTGGGTGGCTAACCCTCCTGGGTTAAAAATCCAAACAAAATCTTGTGCACCAATCCAATGATCTTCATTAACTTAAATCCCTTGGAGAATTTCACCGTATATATTTTTTTCCAGGATGTGTTGGAGTAGCCAGTGGGAAGACGACAGTCTCCGTGTACAACCATTGCCGATGTATCTCCTGCGCATTATTCAGTAATAATGTATAAACATATATATTGGAAAGTTAGTAAGAGACATACAAGAACTAAATCAAGATTAATTGTGCTATGATTTTGATAAGAAATCAATACCAATGTGTGCAGTGTGTGTGAATTCGTAATGGGATCGTGTTGTTGCAAGCCGCAAGCAGAGCCAGGGGGTAATGATGACATTTTCATCAATAGAGAGGATATAGAGTTCATCTCAGGATCTGTAAGTACTGAATGTATAAGTGCTCCTTGACTTACGATGGAGTTTCGTTCTGATGAACCCGCCGTAGGTTGAAAATATCAAGTCAGATATGAATACAGTGGTACCTCGAATTTCGGCCATAATTTGTTCCAGAAGGCTGTTCAAGTGCCGTTGTGGAACAAATTTGTTCCCATAAGGAATAATGTAAATTAGATTAGTCCATCTCAGACCCGCAAAAACACACTTACACAAACACTTACAAAAATACACTTACACAAACACTTACAAAAATACACTTACACAAACACTTACAAAAATGCACTTACACAAACACTTACAAAAATACACTTACACAAACACTTAAAAAAATACACTTACATCATTGTTTGACTTGGGAGCTGTTTGAAATTCGAAGTACCACAGTATATGCTAAATAAATAAATCACTGTTTTACTAAATAAGTAAATAAATAATTACTGTAACTCGCTAAATACCAATATTGAAAAGTAATTAAATGATTACAAGTCACAGACTTGCCGCCTTCATGCTGGGTAATTATCTTAAGTTTCGTCTAAAAAGTAATTGCTTATGCACTATCGTAAAGCTGAAATATTTAAAGTTAAACCATTGTAAGTCGAGGAGCACCTGTAGTCGCATCTCTTCTTAACGTGCACATTCCTGGTTTGACATTGACCATAATATAATACAGTGGACCCCCGCTTAACGATCACCTCCAAATGCGGCCAATTATGCAAGTGTATTTATGTAAGTGCGTTTGTACGTGTATGTTTGGGGGTCTGAAATGGACTAATCTACTTCACAATATTCCTTATGGGAACAAATTCGGTCAGTACTGGCACCTGAACATACTACTGGAATGAAAAAAGTTTGTTAACCGGGGGTCCACTGTACAATAAACCCTTCTTTTGCACATCTCTGAAGAACAAAAAGCACAATACCACGACTAACAATACACAGATAATCTGCATGTAGGAGAAACTTTGACAACGTTTTGGCCCGTCTTAGACTATTAACTAGTCACACTAACACATGAAGGAAAGGAAATAAGTATATATATAAAGTTTCTCCTATGTATAGGTTATTTGTGTAATGCTGTCCATTCTATGGGTTTTGTAAAAAATTTATGAGAGTAAGAAAAACTTGTGGATTTAAGTCCTGGAGGCGGGTAGTACAGTGTTTGTACTCTGAAGGAGAGGTAGGGATGTTAGTCCTGGAGGCGGGTAGTACAGTGTTTGTACTCTGAAGGAGAGGTAGGGATGTTAGTCCTGGAGGCAGGTAGTACAGTGTTTGTGCTCTGAAGGAGAGGTAGGGATGTTAGTCCTGGAGGCGGGTAGTACAGTGTTTGTACTCTGAAGGAGAGGTAGGGATGTTAGTCCTGGAGGCGGGTAGTACAGTGTTTGTACTCTGAAGGAGGGGGTGGATGTTATAGTCCTAGAGGTGGGAAGTACAGTGTTTGTACTCTGAAGGAGGGGGTGGATGTTATAGTCCTAGAGGTGGGAAGTACAGTGTTTGTACTCTGAAGGAGAGGTGGGATGTTAGTCCTGGAGGTGGGTAGTACAGTGTTTGTACTCTGAAGGAGAGGTAGGGATGTTAGTCCTGGAGGCGGGTAGTACAGTGTTTGTGCTCTGAAGGAGGGGGTGGATGTTATAGTCCTAGAGGTGAGAAGTACAGTGTTTGCACTCTGATGGAGAGGTGGGATGTTAGTCCTGGAGGTGGGAAGTACAGTGTTTGTGCCCTGAAGGATGAGTGAGGATGTTAGTCCTGGAGGTGGGAAATACAGTGCTTGCACTCTGAAGGATGAGTAAGGATGTTAGTCATGGAGGTGGGAAATACAATGCTTGCACTCTGAAGGATGAGTGAAGATGTTAGTTCTGGAGGTGGGAAGTACAGTACCTGTACTCTGAAGGATGAGCGAGGAAGTTACAGTTCTGGAGGTGGGAAGTACAGTACCTGTACTCAGAAGGATGAGTGAGGATGTTAGTCCTGGAGGTAGGATATACAGTGCCTGTACTTTGAAGGAGAGATGGGGATGTTACAGTCCTGGAGGTGGGCAGTACAGTGTTTGCAGTCTGAAGGGGAGGTGGGGATATTTGCAGTTTTGTGGTATTGGCTCCCCTCTGGCAAGACCCTGATGGAGTGAGTGATAGTAAAATTGTTTCTTAATATTTTTGGTCACCATGCCTCAGTGGGAAACAGCCAGTTTGTAATAGCATTGGTCTGCTAGTGTGAGAACTAGTTTACCATGGGTTCAAATCCTATCTATTTCAAGAAGAATTAAAAGAGAGAACACAATATAGATCAATTCCTGTAGCTTTAAGTAGGCACTAATGTGTACTGATGCCTGACCTGATTTCGGTACAGGCAGGCCCCGTCTGTACAGCTCTTAGGTTTCCAATTCCGCATGGTGAGTGAAAATTGCCAGCTGGTGGAAGTTTTTTTTCATTACTGAATGCATCTAAAACGCCTGATGACATGTTTACACCATCATTTATCAAGTGCTCAGTACAGCTAGGCATTAAAAAAAAGATAAGGAAAGTAAATACGCAGTACATACAATACAGCCTCTCCTCACATAAAGGAGTTCTGTTCCTAAGACCACGTTGGTAAACGAATTCGTCGCTAAGTGAGGAGCATACTATAATGGTAGTGGGTTTGTGTCATCCATGTTTGATATTGTTTTAATGTCATGTGTATGCCATTTATAACACTTCTGGTATCTTTTTAAATGTTTATACATCAGTGTAATGTATATTGTAATAAATAGAATTGAAGAAATCAGCTCTAATATACATTATTTAGTTTAGCATACTGGTCAGAGAGCCCGTCATAAGTCCAAGTCATCGGTAGACAGGTACATCACTATGTGAAGAGAAGCTGTATTTACCTTAATGTATGGCACTGGTTGTCCATCCCTTAAGCAACTGTTGTGCGAAAAGCGGTAAAAGCACCGAACATAATGAACAACGACTCGGTTGAAAAGCCAACAAAAATGTGGAATACCAAAATGAGATGCTGTATATGCGGGGCTGTGCTGTACTGTAGTATTCCATGCTCATTACATGGATACAAGTCTCCTGTGTCTATTCCTAACCTTAACTCCACCTGAAACAGGAGCTAATCCAGGAAATATAATGGCAGTGAAAGACATACAGTCTCTCCTAGCATCAAGGTCATGGCAGCCAGCCATGTATATTCTTCCATTCAGAATTCAAGAGACCATTAACCCTTAAACTGTCCAAACGTAGATCTACATTTGTGCGCGTAGAGGTCCAACCTTGATTTTCTCCATAAGAAAGCATGTAAAAAAAACATAGATCTACGTTTGGAGTGCTACGCAAGTGAACGTAGATCTATGTTTGGACAGTTTAAGGGTTAAGTGGATTACAGGTTAGAAGGGTCACCCCCATTGGCAGTGACTTGGTGGCTTGGTCATTTAGACCAAGAGGCACTACTACTAGTACTACTGTTGGTACTACTATTACTAGTACACGAGGGCCCCATTTGTATAGTGCTAAGGTTCGTGGCCCCATGTGATAAGCGAAAATCTTCAGTGGGTGGAAAAGAGCAATTTTTTCATCATTGAATGCATCTAAAATGTGTGATAACGTGTTCACAATGTCATATATAAAGTGGCCCGGTGGCCTGGTGGCTAAAGCTCCCGCTTCACACACGGAGGGTCCGGGTTCTATTCCCGGCGGGTGGGAACATTTCGACACGTTTCCTTACACCTGTTGTCCTGTTCACCTAGCAGCAAATAGGTACCTGGGTGTTAGTCGACTGGTGTGGGTTGCATCCTGGGGGACAAGATTAAGGACCCCAATGGAAATAAGTTACAGTCCTTGATGACGCACTGACTTTCTTGGGTTATCCTGGGTGGCTAACCCTCCGGGGTTAAAAATCCGAACAAAATCTTATCTTATCTCTTATCAATACAAATCTGCATAAAAAGTAAAAGTAAAATGTACTGTATGTACCTTAAAATACGGAGCTGTTCACCCTTCCCTTATGCAACTGTTGTACGAAAATGTCAATAACAGTAGAAAAATGGTAAAAATACTGAATATAATGAACAATGGTTGTTGGAAGCCAAGGAAAACATGGAACACCGAAATGAGGGTGGTGTATACGTGAGGCCGTCCTGTACTAGTACATGTACATGTATTACTAAGACTCGGATTTGTATACAGAGTACGTACAGTGTTAGCTCATAACTAAAAGGGGTTTTATTATTTTTATATTTGTTTAATTAGTTTACTTTTAGGTACAGTAGACTCTCGATTAACATGGTGATTACATTCCTGAAAACTCTGTGCCCGTGGTATGTTTTTTTTAAGATGAAACCATCTTAAACAGACCTTGCATTATCAGTAATAAAAATATCAGTGTAAAGAAGGGCGAGTGGGTGGGACGTTCATGTTCTGTTAGCCCCAGCAACAACAAACTCACACACGTCCTAAAACGAGCAATATACGAGCGTACCAGGTAAACTGGTGCACAAATACAGTGGACCCCTGCATAACGATCACCTCTGAATGCGACCAATTATGTAAGTGTATTTATGTAAGTGCGTTTGTACGTGTATGTTTGGAGGTCTGAAATGGACTAATCTACTTCACAATATTCCTTATGGGAACAAACTCAGTCAGTACTGGCACCTGAACATACCTCTGGAGTGAAAAAATATCGTAAACCGGGGGTCCACTGTATATATGAAGTAGGTACTGTACACTCATTACATCCAGGTTCTATTCATCTTTTAACTTTTATTATGCAACGGAAGATAAGCAGAGGGTATATGAACACTGGGAAGGTCCCTCTCATAAACAGGTACAGTTTGTCTCTGCAGTCTCAATCTGAGCACAGTAATAAAGGCAAAGGGAACAAAAAGTGTAAAAATTATAGGAGAATAAGTCTGTTGAGTATACCTGGTAGAGTGTATGGTAGCGTTATTACTGAAACAATTAAGAATAAGACTGAGAGCAGGTGAGCAGCTGAACAACGAGGCTTTATGAAGTGTAGGGGGTGTGTAGACCAAGTGTTTACAGTGAAACATATAGGTGAACAGTATTCATATAAGGATAGAGGTTTTTATGGCATTTACGGGTTTTGAAAATGCGTATAATAGGGTGGATAGGGGGCAATGTGGCAGATGTTGCAAATGTATGGAATAGGAGGTAGGTTACTGAAAGCAGTGAAGGGTTTTTACGAGGATAGTGAGGCTCAAGTTAGAGTATGTAGGAAAGAGGGAAATTATTTCCCAGTAAAAGTAGGCCTTAGACAAGGATGTGTGATGTCACCGTGGTTGTTCAATATATTTATAGATGGGGCTGTAAGAGAAGTGAATGCTCGGGTGTTGGCAAGAGGTGTGAGGTTAGAAGATAAAGAATCTAACACAAAGTGGGAGTTGTCACAGTTGCTCTTTGCTGATGACACTGTGCTTTTGGGAGATTCTGAAGAGAAGTTGCAGAGGTTGGTGGATGAGTTTGGTAGGGTGTGTAAAAGAAGAAAAAAGTGAATACGTATAGGAAATAGTAAGGTGATGAGGATAAAAAATTTAGGTATTCAAAGATTGGATATCAGATTGGAGGGAGAGAGTATGGAGGAGGTGAATGTATTCAAATGTTTGGGAGTGAATGTGTCAGCAGATGGGTCTGTGAAAGATGAGGTGAATCACAGAACTGATGAATGGAAAAAGGTGAGTGGTGCACTGAGGAGTCTGCGGAGACAGAGAACATTATCCATGAAAGCAGAGAGAGGAATGTTTGAGAGTATAGTTATACCAGTGCTCTTATATGGGTGTGAAGTATGGGTGGTGAATGTTGCAACAAGGAGAAGGCTGGAGGCAGTGGAGATGTCATGTCTGAAGGCAAGGTGTGGTGTGAATATAATGCAGAGAATCTGTAGTTTGGATATTAAGAGGAGGTGCAGTGTTACCAAAAGTATTATGCAGAGAGCTGAGGAGGGGTTGTTGAGGTGGTTTGGACATGTAGAGAGGATGGAACAAAATAGAAAGACTTAGTGTGTACAAATCTGTAGTGGAGGGAAGGCAGAGTAAGGGTTGACCTAGGAAAGGTTGGAGGGAGGGGGTAAAGGAGGTGTTGTGTGTGAGGGGCTTGGATTTCCAGCAAGCATGTGTGAGTGTTAGATAGGAGCGAATGGAGACAAATGGTTTTTAGGACTTGACGTGCTGTTGGAGTGTGAGCAAAGTAACATTTATGAAGGGATTCAGGGAAACCGGCAGGCCGGACTTGAGTCCTGGAGATGGGAAGTACAGTGCCTGCACTCTGAAGGAGGGGTGTTAATGTTGCAGTTTAAAAACTGTAGTGTAAAGCACCCTTCTGGCAAGACAGTGATGGAGTGAATGATGGTGAAAGTTTTTCTTTTTCGGGCCACCCTGCCTTGGTGGGCCACCCTGCCTGGGTGGGCCACCCTGCCTGGGTGGGCCACCCTGCCTGGGTGGGCCACCCTGCCTGGGTGGGCCACCCTGCCTGGGTGGACCACCCTGCCTGGGTGGACCACCCTGCCTGGGTGGACCACCCTGCCTGGGTGGACCACCCTGCCTGGGTGGACCACCCTGCCTGGGTGGACCACCCTGCCTGGGTGGACCACCCTGCCTGGGTGGACCACCCTGCCTGGGTGGACATGGTACACCGCCGGGGAAACGCGTGTTATTTATTGATATGAAAACACTGCATGTATTGACTGGTATGCAGAAATCGGCTAATTTAATCACATAGATCTCAGAGTTGTATAGGACACACATGTATGGACCAATGAAAGGTGGGATGGGGGAGGAAGCCGCACCTCCCCCACAAGGACAGTGGACTGACACACACACAGGCTGCCTATGAGCCCACTAGACTGAGGGGGAAAATCCCACAGTGCAGCTTGCAGTGCTCCCAACTTTTTTCCCAGAAGTGAAACTTTGTTACTTCTGCAGAATGTTAGTTGAAAATATACCGCAATTTTGCAGTAGTGTAACGGAGAAAATGTGGTAAAGGAACACGTGTTAATCTACGGTCTGCTGTATATAGAATTAGTTCTGTCTTTATACCTCTGCTTTCTGACCCCAGTTGTGATTTGACGGTTGTCCAGGACAGACCAAAGTGCCATAAGCTTAGAAGATCATTAATACTGCCAGTCCAATACTTCATTATACATTACCTAATTATATAGAAAATGTGCGCTGTGTAATGTAGTAAATATGATAATGAGTGATTAACACCTACTGCCAGGGTAGCGAGGATGGCATCAACAGTGCCGCACTCTCCAGTATTGCAGACAAGTACGTGTTGGACACTGTGGCCGTCATAAGAACTTTAGTTGACAAGTAAGTGCTCCACTTATGAGTCATAATATCCATATTGTTATTTCTGTGGTTGGTCTACAAAACCTGTTAACATAATGACTGTGAAAAATAGTGAATTTCCAGGTGCTTATGTGATTTTCAGTGTTTTTTTTTTTTTTTATATTGTGATATCACCTATTTACTGTGATGTTATTACATCTATTAACATGTGTAAAAAATATATATAAGGATGACCAAGCACAGCGGTACCTCAGTATACGACCTTAATTAATGCCAGAAGGCTGTTCAAGTGCCAATCTCTTCGAGTACTGAATGAATTTGTTCCCACAAAGACTAATGTAAAGTAGATTAATCCATTTCAGACCCCCAAAAGTACACTTAGAAAAATACACTTACATGATTGTTCGAGTTGGGAGCTGGACGTGTACCAAGGTACCACTGTATATGGAGGAAGGAAATATGGTTAAGCAAAAACGAAAGCCACTAACATGCCTGAGCATTTCGGGCAGATTAATCCTAATGCTTACTTAAAACTAGACTAAGAGAGAGACAGAGGGAGACAGGTGGGCGGGTGAGTTTTTATCAGCAATATTGCTAGGATAAAACAATGCATTGGACAGGGAGGAATAGAATCTGTTAGGAGTAGGGAAGAGCCAGAGATGAGTGTAGAGGAAATATGTGAGGCACTGGGTAGGCTGAAAGAAGGCAAAGCAGCTGGGATAAATGAAATTGAGCAGTAATGAACTTGATGTGAAGTAGGAGTCACCATAGTTGCTCTTTGCTGATAACACAGTGCTTTTGGGAGGTTCTAGAGAGAAGGTACAAAGTTTGGTCAAGATGATGGGAAGGGTGTGTACAAGAATGAGGTTGAAAATATAGTAAGAAGTGCACAGTGAAAGATTGAACAATGAATTGAAGGAAGGGACCTTGGATGAAGTGAAAATCTGAAGGAAGGGAGTCTGGAGGAGGAGGTGGAAAATAAATTGAAGGAAAAGTAGATGCAAGGTGTAGGAAACATTCCAGGAATGGTTGAAAAACGCATAAAGAAGATTTAGAAAGATGTACTTATTATGCATCAGGCATGTATGGGCTTGTTAGGTTGGATCGAGTGACAAGCGTAACTTTCTTGAGGGAGTTCCAGGGGAAGAGAAATAAAAACTTGCATCAAGAGAGTCCTTGCCCTTCCCTTCCTTGGGTCGAGCTTAAATGTCTCTCATTCCATCAGGTGCTATATGGCCCCTGGGGGTGTAGTGTTCAAACTACCTGGTATACTCGTTCTTAGTCAATAATTTTTACATTCTTGCCTCCCTTTTTCTTTCATGCATATTTAGTAGTTTCCCTGTATCCACAGAGAACACATTCCAAGACATACCATGGCTACCTGATACCATGGGTACTTGATACCATGGGTACTTGATACCATGGCTACTTGATACCATAGCTACTTGATACCATGGGTACCTGATACTATGGGTACCTGATACCATGGCTACCTGTTACCATGGCTACCTGATACCATGGCTACCTGATACCATGGCTACCTGATACCATGGCTACCTGATACCATGGCTACCTGATACTATGGCTACCCAATACCATGGCTACCTGATACCATGGCTACCTGATACCCTGGCTACCTGATACTATGGCTACCTGATACCCTGGCTACCTGATACCATGGCTACCTGATACCATGGCTACCTGATACCATGGCTACCTGATACTATGGCTACCCGATACCATGGCTACCTGATACCATGGCTACCTGATACCATGGCTACCTGATACCATGGGCACCTGATACCATGGCTACCCGATACCATGGCTACCCGATACCATGGCTACCCGATACCATGGCTACCCGATACCATGGCTACCCGATACCATGGCTACCTGATACCATGGCTACCGATACCATGGCTACTGATACCATGCACGATACCATGGCTACCTGATACTATGGCTACCTGATACCATGGCTACCTGATACTATGGCTACCTGATACCATGGCTACCTGATACCATGGCTACCTGATACCATGGCTACCTGATACCATGGCTACCTGATACCATGGCTACCTGATACTATGGCTACCTGATACCATGGCTACCTGATACCATATATAGTAGCAAACTCTATAAATATACAAGTTGTTTTTCATTTACATACCTGTGATAGTTTAATTGATAAATTATGCACAATAAATGGAGTATCATTTTTCACTGATGGGAAGCACTTTACAGCTTTGATAAACTACCGTCATCACTATTTTTCTGCTTTGGTGCCATTATAAAACAACGTTAAGGGCTATTTTCTGGCCTTGGTAAACTGGATAACTGAAATCACCGAACTGAATCTGTGGATATGGGGGTTCTACTGTATATTGAACAAATACATCAACCACTCCAAAACTATATCCTCCCTTGCTTTAACATCTGTCTTAACCACTCTAGAACTATATCCCCCACCTGCTTTAACATCTGTCCTAACCAGAACTATATCCCCACCTGCTTTAACATCTGTCCTAACCAGAACTATATCCCCACCTGCTTTAACATCTGTCCTAACCAGAACTATATCCCCACCTGCTTTAACATCTGTCCTAACCAGAACTATATCCCCACCTGCTTTTAACATCTGTCCTAACCAGAACTAGATCCCCACCTACTTTTAACATCTGTGCTAACCACTCCAGAACTATAGCTTTAACATCCATCCTAGCTATTTTACCCCTTTAATTCTACCCATTGTCACTGTTATAAATATTGAAGTTCTTTACCAAATTTCAGGCCAGCACAGATTAAACATAATGTTAAAAGCGTGTATCTCTTCAACAGCGATCAGGACCCTCCACCGTCAATGCTTAAGCTGCATTCTATAGCGGATAAAGAAGCTGGTTGGCTGGTGGTGGTGCGGTCTATGGTGCAAGTAATTCCCCTCAACGACCCCCTTGGACCAGCTGTCATCACGCTCCTGCTGGATGACTGTCCACTACCAAGCAAGGTGTGTCATAACTAATAATAATGCTAATTAGACATTATTGATAAATTGTTTTCTTAGATGTATTTATATTTTTTTCAACAAACTGGCCATCTCTCACCAAGGCAGGGTGACCCAAAAAAGAAACACTTTCACCATTATTTACACTATCACTGTCTTGCCAGAGGCATGCAGATACATGTACTGCAGTTGTATTTCATTTTAGACGAGTATCTCTATTACTATTGCATATATATACAGTGGTACCTCGAGTTTCGAACTGCTCCCAACTCGACCAATTATGTAAGTGTATTATTGTCAGTGCTTTTGTAAGTGTAATTTTTGGGGGTCTGAAACAGACTAATCTAATTTACAATATTGCTTATGGGAACAAATTCATTCAGTAACGGCACTTGAACAGCCTTCTGGAATGAAGAAAGATTGAAACTCGGGGTACCACTATATTGATCTCCATGGGAAAGTGGAACAAAATTCTTCTTCCGTAAGCTGTGTGTGTCATAAGAGGCGACTAAAATGCTTGGAGCAAGTGGCTAGTAACCCCTTCTCCTGTATGCATTACTAAATTTAAAAAGGAGAAACTTTCGCTTTATGGCTGATGTGTTGAAAGAAGAAAGATATATATTCATATACGGTAACTTTTTTTAAAGGTAAAATTGATCTTCGCATTTTTACCATTGTAGGAAACTGTAGTTCATCTGAGCAAGTTTTTGGAGTTGAGTAGAATGAGTGCAGGAGAGAGCTGGAAAGATCCTCGCCTCCATCGAAACATCTGCGTTGTGTTGGGATGCATTGCTGAGAAGCTTGCTGGACCAGCCTCCATAGCTCTGCTTACACACACTACCCTTGAGTACCTGGTGGCTCACCTGGTAAGTCACACAGCTCTCTTATAGGGTTATACTACCCAGTATGTACAGATGGGGCCCGTTTATACAGCAGGTTAGGTTTCAGGCTGCTGTTGGGCCCCACTTATATAGCAGATTAGGTTTCAGGCTACTGTAGGGCCATGCTTATACAGCAGGTTAGGTTTCAGGCTACTGTAGGGCCCTGCTTATACAGCAGGTTAGGTTCCAGGTTACCGTAGGGCCCTGCTTATACAGGAGGTAAAGTTCTGGGCTACTATAGGGCCCAGCTTATACAGCAGGCTAAGTTCTGGGCTACTGTAGGACCCCACTTATACAGCAGATTAGGTTCCAGGCTACTGTAGGGCCCTGCTTATACAGGAGGTAAAGTTCTGGGCTACTATAGGGCCCCGCTTATACAGCAGGCTAAGTTCTGTGCTACTGTAGGACCCCACTTATACAGCAGATTAGGTTCCAGGCTACTGTAGGGCCCCACTTATACAGCAGGTTAGGTTCCAGGCTACTGTAGGGTCCTGATTATATAGCAGGTTAGGTTCTGAGCTACTGTAGGGGCCCCACTTACACAGCAGGTTAGGTTTCAGGCTACTGTAGGACCCCACTTATACAGCAGGTTAGGTTTCAGGCTATTGTAGGACCCCACTTATACAGCAGGTTAGGTTTCAGGCTACTGTAGGACCCCACTTATACAGCAAGTTAGGTTTCAGGCTACTGTAGGGCCCCACTTATAGAGCAGGTTAGGTTTCAGGCTACTGTAGGACCCCACTTATACAGCAGGTTAGGTTCCAGGCTACTGTAGGACCCCACTTATACAGCAAGTTAGGTTTCAGGCTACTGTAGGGCCCCACTTATACAGCAGGTTAGCTTCCAGGCTACTGTAGGACCCCACTTATACAGCAGGTTAGGTTTCAGGCTACTGTAGGGCCCCACTTATACAGCAGGTTAGGTTTCAGGCTACTGTAGGGCCCCACTTATACAGCAGGTTAGGTTCCAGGCTACTGTAGGACCCCACTTATACAGCAGGTTAGGTTTCGGGCTACTGTAAGGCCCCACTTATACAGCAGGTTAGGTTCCAGGCTACTGTAGGACCCCACTTATACAGCAGGTTAGGTTCCAGGCTACTGTAGGACCCCACTTATACAGCAGGTTAGGTTTCAGGCTACTGTAGGGCCCCACTTATACAGCAGGTTAGGTTCCAGGCTACTGTAGGACCCCACTTATACAGCAGGTTAGGTTCCAGGCTACTGTAGGACCCCACTTATACAGCAGGTTAGGTTTCAGGCTACTGTAGGGCCCCACTTATACAGCAGGTTATTTTCCAGGCTACTGTAGGACCCCACTTATACAGCAGGTTAGGTTTCAGGCTACTGTAGGACCCCACTTATACAGCAGGTTAGGTTTCAGGCTACTGTAGGGCCCCACTTATACAGCAGGTTAGGTTTCAGGCTACTGTAGGACCCCACTTATACAGCAGGTTAGGTTTCAGGCTACTGTAGGACCCCACTTATACAGCAGGTTAGGTTCCAGGCTACTGTAGGGCCCCACTTATACAGCAGGTTAGGTTTCAGGCTACTGTAGGACCCCACTTATACAGCAGGTTAGGTTTCAGGCTACTGTAGGACCCCACTTATACAGCAGGTTAGGTTTCAGGCTACTGTAGGGGCCCATTATACAGCAGGTTAGGTTTCAGGCTACTGTAGGGCCCACTTATACAGCAGGTTAGGTTTCAGGCTACTGTAGGCCCCCCACTTATACAGCAGGTTAGGTTTCAGGCTACTGTAGGACCCCACTTATACAGCAGGTTAGGTTTCAGGCTACTGTAGGGCCCCACTTATACAGCAGGTTAGGTTTCAGGCTACTGTAGGACCCCACTTATACAGCATGTTAGGTTTCAGGCTACTGTAGGACCCCACTTATACAGCAGGTTAGGTTTCAGGCTACTGTAGGGGCCCACTTATACAGCAGGTTAGGTTTCAGGCTACTGTAGGGGCCCACTTATACAGCAGGTTAGGTTTCAGGCTACTGTAGTGGCCCACTTATACAGCAGGTTAGGTTTCAGGCTACTGTAGGGGCCCACTTATACAGCAGGTTAGGTTTCAGGCTACTGTAGGGGCCCACTTATACAGCAGGTTAGGTTCCAGGCTACTGTAGGGCCCCACTTATACAGCAGGTTAGGTTCCAGGCTACTGTAGGACCCCACTTATACAGCGGGTTTTAGGTTCCAGGCTACTGTAGGACCCCACTTATACAGCAGGTTAGGTTCCAGGCTACTGTAGGGCCCCACTTATACAGCAGGTTAGGTTCCAGGCTACTGTAGGACCCCACTTATACAGCAGGTTAGGTTCCAGGCTACTGTAGGACCCCACTTATACAGCAGGTTAGGTTCCAGGCTACTGTAGGGCCCCACTTATACAGCAGGTTAGGTTCCAGGCTACTGTAGGACCCCACTTATACAGCAGGTTAGGTTTCAGGCTACTGTAGGGCCCCACTTATACAGCAGGTTAGGTTTCAGGCTACTGTAGGGCCCCACTTATATAGCAGGTTAGGTTCCAGGCTACTGTAGGGCCCCACTTATACAGCAGGTTAGGTTTCAGGCTACTGTAGGGCCCCACTTATACAGCAGGTTAGGTTTCAGGCTACTGTAGGGCCCCACTTATACAGCAGGTTAGGGTCTGTGCTATTGTTGTAAAGTGAAAATCTCTGTAAAGTAAAACAGGCTTTTTTATTTCCCAATACAAATAAAAGCCTGATAACATATTTACACTATCATATATTAAGTGAGAAATAGAGCTAGGACTAAAAGATACATGTACAGTACACACATTACTTTTTATTTTTATTTTATTATCACACTGGCCGATTCCCACCAAGGCAGGGTGGCCCGAAAAAGAAAAACTTTCACCATCATTCACTCCATCACTGTCTTGCCAGAAGGGTGCTTTACACTACAGTTTTTAAACTGCAACATTAACACCCCTCCTTCAGAGTGCAGGCACTGTACTTCCCATCTCCAGGACTCAAGTCCGGCCTGCCGGTTTCCCTGAATCCCTTCATAAATGTTACTTTGCTCACACTCCAACAGCACGTCAAGTATTAAAAACCATTTGTCTCCATTCACTCCTATCAAACACGCTCACGCATGCCTGCTGGAAGTCCAACCCCCTCGCACACAAAACCTCCTTTACCCCCTCCCTCCAACCCTTCCTAGGCCGACCCCTACCCCGCCTTCCTTCCACTACAGACTGATACACTCTTGAAGTTATTCTGTTTCGCTCCATTCTCTCTACATGTCCGAACCACCTCAACAACCCTTCCTCAGCCCTCTGGACAACAGTTTTGGTAATCCCGCACCTCCTCCTAACTTCCAAACTACGAATTCTCTGCATTATATTCACACACACATTGCCCTAAGACATGACATCTCCACTGCCTCCAGCCTTCTCCCGCTGCAACATTCATCACCATGCTTCACACCCATATAAGAGCGTTGGTAAAACTATACTCTCATACATTCCCTCTTTGCCCCCAAAGGGACAAAGTTCTCTGTCTCCACAGACTCCTAAGTGCACCACTCACTCTTTTTCCCTCATCAATTCTATGATTCACCTCATCTTTCATAGACCCATCCGCTGACACGTCCACCCCCCAAAAATTGAATACGTTCACCTCCTCCATACTCTCTCCCTCCAATCTGATATTCATCTTTCATCACCTAATCTTTTTTTTTATCCTCATAACCTTACTCTTTCCTGTATTCACCTTTAATTTTCTTCTTTTGCAAAACCTACCAAATTCATCCACCAATCTCTGCAGCTTCTCTTCAGAATCTCCCAAGAGCACAGTGTCATCAGCAAAGAGCAGCTGTGACAACTCCCACCCTGTGTGTGATTCTTTATCTTTTAACTCCACGCCTCTTGCCAAGACCCTCGCATTTACTTCTCTTACAACCCCCTCTATAAATATATTAAACAACCACGGTGACATCACACATCCTTGTCTAAGGCCTACTTTTACTGGGAAAAATTTCCCTCTTTTCTACATACTCTAACTTGAGCCTCACTATCCTCGTTAAAAAACTCTTCACTGCTTTCAGTAACCTACCTCCTACACCATACACTTGCAAACATCTGCCACATTGCCCCCTATCCACCCTGTCATACGCCTTTTCCAAATCCAAAAATGCCACAAAGACCTTTTTTAGCCTTATCTAAATACTGTTCACTTATATTTTTTCACTGTAAACACCTGGTCCACACACCCCTACCTTTCCTAAAGCCTCCTTGTTCTCTGCTATCCTATTCTCCGTTTTACCTTTAATTCTTTCAATTTAACTCTACCATACATTTTAAACCGGGTTTACACTCAACAGACTTATCCCCCTATAATTTTTGCACTCTCTTTTATCCCCTTTGCCTTTATACAAAGGAACTATGCATGCTCTTTTGCCAAATCCCTAGGTACCTTACCCTCTTCCATACATTTATTAAATAATTGCACCAACCATCCAAAACTATATCCCACCTGCTTTTAACATTTCTATTTTTATCCCATCAACCCCGGCTGCCTTACCCCCTTCATTTTACCTACTGCCTCACGAACTTCCCCCACACTCCAATGGCTCTTCCTCACTCCTACAAGATGTTATTCCTCCTTGCCCTATACACGGGAAAACACAGCTTCCCTATCTTCATCAAAATTTAACATATCCTCAAAATATTCCCTCCATCTTCCCAATACCTCTAACTCTCCATTTAATAACTCTCCTCTCCTATTTTAACTGACAAATCCCTTTGTTCTCTAGGCTTCCTTAACTTGTTAATCTCACTCCCAAAAATTTTTCTTATTTTCAAAAAAATTTGTTGATAAAAAGCTCACCCACTCTCTCATTTGCTCTCTTTTTACATTGCTTCACCACTCTCTTAACCCTCTCTTTTTTCCATATACTCTTCCCTCCTTGCATCACTTCTACCCTTTTTAAAAAATTCTCATATGCTAACTTTTTTCTCCCTTACTACTCTCTTTACATCATCATTCCACCAAAACGCTCCTCTTCCCTCCTGCACCCCCTTTCCTGTAACCACAAACTTCTGTGAACACTCTAAAAACTACATTTTTTTAAAACCCACCCATTCCTCTTCGACCCCATTGTCTATGCTCTTTATTAGCCCATCTATCCTCCAATAGTGTTTTAATCTTACCCTAACTGCCTCCTCTTTTAGTTTATAAACCTTCACCTCTCTCTTCCTGATGCTTCTATTCTCCTTGTATCCCATCTACCTTTTACTCTCAGTGTAGCTACAACTAGAAAGTGATCTGATATATCTGTGGCCCCTCGATAAACATGTACATCCTGAAGTCTACTCAACAGTCTTTTATCTACTAATACATAATCCAACAAACTACTGTCATTTCGCCCTACATCATATCGTGTATACTTATTTATCCTCTTTTTCTTAAAATATGTATTACCTATAACTAAACCCCTTTCTATACAAAGTTCAATCAAAGGGCTCCCATTATCATTTACACCTGGCACCCCAAACTTACCTACCACACCCTCTCTAAAAGTTTCTCCTACTTTAGCATTCAGGTCCCCTACCACAATTACTCTCTCACTTGGTTCAAAGGCTCCTATACATTCACTTAACATTACTTATCTTAAAATATTTTCGTCATTAGTTTATACTGAGCGGTGAACATGTTTATTGTAGGAAGTCTAAATAAATGAAGAATGGCTTTAATTGAACGCTGCTGTATTAGCGAAGCACCGTAAAGCAAAGTGCTGTAAAGCGAGGACCTCCTATTTTGTAAGTTCAACTTTTTTACAGGCTCCCTATACAGTGGACCCCCGGTTAACGATATTTTTTCAATCCAGAAGTATGTTCAGGTGCCAGTACTGACCGAATTTGTTCCCATAAGGAATATTGTGAAGTAGATTAGTCCATTTCAGACCCCCAAACATACACGTACAAACGCACTTACATAAATACACTTACATAATTGGTCGCATTCGGAGGTGATCGTTATGCGGGGGTCCACTGTATATAAGTTCTAATTTTATGCATATTCCCAGTTCTTCCAGTAATTTCATAAGTGTATTATAACTTTTGGGTAACATTCACATATTATCCATTTTTGTATCGTGAATACATCCAAAAAAAAAATAGACTTACTCATGTTTACCTGGAGTTTACCTGGAGAGAGTTCCGGGGGTCAATGCCCCCGCAGCCCAGTCTGTGACCAGGCCTCCTGGTGGATCAGAGCCTGATCAACCAGGCTGTTAGAGCTGGCTGCACGTAAACCAACGTACGAACCACAGCCTGGCTGGTCAGGCACCGACTTTAGGCGCTTGTCCAGTGCCAGCTTGAAGACTGCCAGGGGTCTATTGGTAATCCCCATTATGTATGCTGGGAGGCAGATGAACAGTCTCGGGTCGGGCCCCTGACACTAACACGCACCCTAATGACTATAAACATAAAATTCCTAATGTAGTTATTGCCTGATACATCTTAGGACTAAATAGTCCTAAGTTTACCTAATAAATCATAAGTTAGTCTTAAATTTGCCTAAAATACTCTCCCAGTATAGGAGCTTTTGCTAAAACAGTGTATCATGCCGAGACAAAATTGTAACATGATTCACGAAATCGTAATGACATGATTGCAGACAAACCATACCATGGGTGAGGTTTGAACCCACGTTCAGAGTCTGAAAACTCCAGACTGTTGTGACAGTCTGGAGTTTTGAGACTCTGATTGCGGGTTCAAACCCCACCTGTGGTATGGTTTTTTTACTAATTGTATTATTGTTATATGTTTTGTCCTGCCTTATTATTATAAATCTAATTAATCACTTCCATTACCTAACTTTTATATCAGTATGCAGTAATGTATATTAAGATATACTGCTCCATAACCTGTCAATATAGAGTAAGTATTAGGATTAGTCTGCCCAAAATGCCTAGACGTGCTAGAGGCCTTCTTTGTTATTAATATTTTATAATTTGTAAACCACACATTGTAAGCTTTGCAGGGAAATAAAAATTTTGATTTTTCAATCATTGTTATTATTTTTTTTTTTTTTCAACAAGTCGGCCGTTTCCCACCGAGGCAGGGTGACCCACCGAGGCAGGGTGACCCACCGAGGCAGGGTGACCCACCGAGGCAGGGTGACCCACCGAGGCAGGGTGACCCACCGAGGCAGGGTGACCCACGAGGCAGGGTGACCCACCGAGGCAGGGTGACCCACCGAGGCAGGGTGGCCCACCGAGGCAGGGTGGCCCACCGAGGCAGGGTGGCCCACCGAGGCAGGGTGGCCCAAAAAAGAAAGAAAATCCCCAAAAAAGAAAATACTTTCATCATTCAACACTTTCACCACACTCACACATTATCACTGTTTTTGCAGAGGTGCTCAGAATACAACAGTTTAGAAGCATACACATTGTTATTATGCTTTTCCTAAATGTCAGACTTACCTGTCACTTTGCTGCATTATTTTCTCTTTTGCAGCAGCATAAATTTTGATTAATACAGTTTTTTTGTCCACAGAATGAAAATAATCACCCTTGTGTCATCCTCTTTGCATTGATAGCCCTCGAAAAATTTGCCCAAACTAGCGAGAACAAGACAAGTATTGGCAAGTGTCTTAGTCAAGGTCTTAACAACCCACTTAGGACTCTAGAATCATGGATGAATCACACGGATTTTGTGCACCGTCAAGTTGGTTTCTGCGCACAGTGGTGTCTTGATAATTTGTGTAAGTTTTACATCGTAAAAAGTATATATAGTCGTAATATGATTGTTTTTTACGGTTGAAGATATTGACTGTCAAGCGGGAGTACATGTAACACTTGAGGACTGATCAACCAGTATCCCAGACAGAAGTATGATGTGTAATGCATAAGGATTGATACTAAAGTATTCCAGACAGGAGTATGGTGTGTAATGTGTGAGGATTGATACTAAAGTATCCCAGACAGGAGTATGATGTGTTAAGCTTCAGATATGTGTTTGTAAGATTGTTGACACAGTGCCTTAGCTGGTCGTGACACTTTACTCCTGGGATGTCGGAAGATGAAAGCTCAAGGTTCACACATTTACACAACCAATATTAATACAGTATTAATATACTTAGAGGCTTCATTTTGAGCACATTAGTCATGAATTATTATGATTGTGTTTTAATGCATTTTTAACTTCAAATTCACATTTTTCCATAACATTTGGAAAGGCTTGTATGAGACGTAACTCTTTTGTGCATGTTAAGTTTGGGATATTGGCAGTTTGGAGGGATATGTTGTGTATCTTTATATGTGTATGCTTCTAGACTGTTATTTCTGAGCACCTCTGCAAAAACAGTGATAATGTGCGAGTGTGGTGAAAGTGTTGAATGATGATGAAAGTATTTTCTTTTTGGGGATTTTCTTTCTTTTTTGGGTCACCCTGCCTCGGTGGGAGACGGCCGACTTGTTGAAAAAAAAAAAAAAAAAAAAAAAAAAAATTTTTTAAGTATGATCTGCATTAAAAACAGTTCTTTCTTCTTTCAACGTACCAGCCGTATCCCACCGAGGCGGAGTGACCCAAAAGGAAAAATGAAAGTTTCTCCTTTTAATTACAGTGGAACCTCAAATTTCGAACGTATCGCTTATCAAACTCTTCGAAAATAGAACCCTTTTTTCGAACCCACTTTGCCCCTATTATTGAACTCGCCCCTATTTTCGAACCGCCGGATACTGGACCTGTCCGGCAGCCCGCCCTGTCCGCGTCCCCATGCAGGCTCCGTGAGTCTGATTTTGTTGATGCTTGAGTGAACACTAACTTGCACTCCCATTCAAACATTTTACGATTATTTCATTGTGTTTAGTGCTTGTGGGACTGTGAAATAAGCTACATTGGGCCCAAAGAAACTTGTTAGTGGTACCCCTGTGGTCTAGAAAGTGAGAAACACCATAGATGTGAAGAAGGAAATAATACAATAGTGGAATGATGTCCAGATGTTTGTGCAGAAGTACCACCCTGAGCAAGCTAAAACAAGCCATCTTTGCAACAAGTTCAGTGACAGAACCATGTCCCATTTTAGGGAAAGCATAGAGGCACCAGAAACAGAGGACTGTGGACAGTTATTGTGTGAGACAAGGGTCCAGTGACTCTTAAGCTGGTCCTAGTGGCATTAAAAGACAGAGAAAGGAAGTAACCCCAGAGAGGGCTTTACCTGAAGTCCTCATGGAGGGGGATTCTCCTTCCAAACACTAACCTCAACTCCCTCTCTCCTCCTCCCTATCTTCCAGATGCCATCACCAATCTTCAATAAAGGTAATTAAAATGTAGTAGGTTGGTAGACAGCAACCACCCAGGGAAGTACTACCGTCCTGCCAGATGACTGTGAAACAAAAACCTGTAACTGTTTTGCATGATGGTAGGATTGCTGGTTTTCTTTTTCTGTCTCATAAACACGCTAGATAACAGGGATATCTTGCTACTCCTACTTACACTTTGGTCACACTTCACAGACACGCACATGCATATATATATATACATACATCTAGGTTTTTCTCCTTATTCTAAATAGCTCTTGTTCTTTTTTATTTGCTTCTATTGTCCATGGGGAAGTGGAAAAGATATCTTTCCTCCGTAAGCCATGCGTGTCGTATGAGGCGACTAAAATGCCGGGAGCAATGGGCTAGTAACCCCTTCTCCTGTATACATTTACTAAAAAGAGAAGAAGAAAACTTTATAAAAACTGGGTTGTTTAAATGTGCGTGGATGTAGTGGGATGACAAGAAACAGATGATTGTGATGTTATGAATGAAAAGAAGTTGGATGTCCTGGCTCCTAAGCGAAACAAAGCTGAAGGGGGTACGAGAGTTTCAGTGGGGGGAAATAAATGGGATAAATCTGGAGTATCTGAGAGAGTTAGAGCAAAGGAAGGGGTAGCAGTAATGTTAAATGATCAGTTATGGAAGGGAAAAAGAAAATATGAATGTGTAAATTCGAGAATTATGTGGATTAAAGTAAAGGTTGGATGCGAGAAGTGGGTCATAATAAGCGTGTATGCACCTGGAGAAGAGAGGAATGCAGAGGAGAGAGAGAGATTTTGGGAGATGTTAAGTGAATGTATAGGAGCCTTTGAACCAAGTGAGAGAGTAATTGTGGTAGGGGACCTGAATGCTAAAGTAGGAGAAACTTTTAGAGAGGGTGTGGTAGGTAAGTTTGGGGTGCCAGGTGTAAATGATAATGGGAGCCCTTTGATTGAACTTTGTATAGAAAGGGGTTTAGTTATAGGTAATACATATTTTAAGAAAAAGAGGATAAATAAGTATACACGATATGATGTAGGGCGAAATGACAGTAGTTTGTTGGATTATGTATTGGTAGATAAAAGACTGTTGAGTAGACTTCAGGATGTACATGTTTATCGAGGGGCCACAGATATATCAGATCACTTTCTAGTTGTAGCTACACTGAGAGTAAAAGGTAGATGGGATACAAGGAGAATAGAAGCATCAGGGAAGAGAGAGGTGAAGGTTTATAAACTAAAAGAGGAGGCGTTAGGTAAGATATAAACAGCTATTGGAGGATAGATGGGCTAATGAGAGCATAGGCAATGGGGTCGAAGAGGAATGGGGTAGGTTTAAAAATGTAGTGTTAGAGTGTTCAGCAGAAGTTTGTGGTTACAGGAAAGTGGGTGCAGGAGGGAAGAGGAGCGATTGGTGGATGATGATGTAAAGAGAGTAGTAAGGGAGAAAAAGTTAGCATATGAGAAGTTTTTACAAAGTAGAAGTGATGCAAGGAGGGAAGAGTATATGGAGAAAAAGAGAGAGGTTAAGAGAGTGGTGAAGCAATGTAAAAAGAGAGCAAATGAGAGAGTGGGTGAGCTGTTATCAACAAATTTTGTTGAAAATAAGAAAAAGTTTTGGAGTGAGATTAACAAGTTAAGGAAGCCTAGAGAACAAATGGATTTGTCAGTTAAAATAGGAGAGGAGAGTTATTAAATGGAGAGTTAGAGGTATTGGGAAGATGGAGGGAATATTTTGAGGAATTGTTAAATGTTGATGAAGATAGGGAAGCTGTGATTTCGTGTATAGGGCAAGGAGGAAATAACATCTTGTTAGGAGTGAGGAAGAGCCAGTTGTGAGTGTGGGGGAAGTTCGTGAGGCAGTAGGTAAAATGAAAGGGGGTAAGGCAGCAGGATTGATGGGATAAAGATAAAATGTTAAAAGCAGGTGGGGATTAGTTTTGGAGTGGTTGGTGCAATTATTTAATAAATGTATGGAAGAGGGTAAGGTACTAGGGATTGGCAGAGAGCATGCATAGTTCCTTTGTATAAAGGCAAGGGGATAAAAGAGGAGTGCAAAAATTATAGGGGGATAAGTCTGTGAGTGTACCTGGTAAAGTGTATGGTAGAGTTATATATTGAAAGAATTAAGAGTAAGACGGAGAATAGGATAGCAGCATGAACAAGGAGGCTTTAGGAAAGGTAGGGGGTGTGTGGACCAGGTGTTTACAGTGAAAACATATAAGTGAACAGTATTTAGATAAGGCTAAAGAGGTCTTTGTGGCATTTATGGATTTGGAAAAGGCGTATGACAGGGTGGATAGGGGGGCAATGTGGCAGATGTTGCAAGTGTATGGTGTAGGAGGTAGGTTACTGAAAGCAGTGAAGAGTTTTTACGAGGATAGTGAGGCTCAAGTTAGAGTATGTAGAAAAGAGGGAAATTTTTTCCCAGTAAAAGTAGGCCTTAGACAAGGATGTGTGATGTCACCGTGGTTGTTTAATATATTTATAGATGGGGTTGTAAGAGAAGTAAATGCGAGGGTCTTGGCAAGAGGCGTGGAGTTAACAGATAAAGAATCACACATAGGGTGGGAGTTGTCACAGCTGCTCTTTGCTGATGACACTGTGCTTTTGGGAGATTCTGAAGAGAAGCTGCAGAGATTGGTGGATGAATTTGGTAGGGTGTGCAAAAGAAGAAAATTAAAGGTGAATACAGGAAAGAGTAAGGTTATGAGGATAACAAAAAGATTAGGTGATGAAAGATGAATATCAGATTGGAGGGAGAGAGTATGGAGGAGGTGAACGTATTCAGATATTTGGGAGTGGACGTGTCAGCGGATGGGTCTATGAAAGATGAGGTGAATCATAGAATTGATGAGGGAAAAAGAGTGAGTGGTGCACTTAGGAGTCTGTGGAGACAGAGAACTTTGTCCTTGGAGGCAAAGAGGGGAATGTATGAGAGTATAGTTTTACCAACGCTCTTATATGGGTGTGAAGCATGGGTGATGAATGTTGCAGCGAGGAGAAGGCTGGAGCAGTGGAGATGTCATGTCTGAGGGCAATGTGTGGTGTGAATATAATGCAGAGAATTCGTAGTTTGGAAGTTAGGAGGAGGTGCGGGATTACCAAAAACTGTTGTCCAGAGGGCTGAGGAAGGGTTGTTGAGGTGGTTCGGACATGTAGAGAGAATGGAGCGAAACAGAATAACTTCAAGAGTGTATCAGTCTGTAGTGGAAGGAAGGCGGGGTAGGGGTCGGCCTAGGAAGGGTTGGAGGGAGGGGGTAAAGGAGGTTTTGTGTGCGAGGGGCTTGGACTTCCAGCAGGCATGCGTGAGCGTGTTTGATAGGAGTGAATGGAGACAAATGGTTTTTAATACTTGACGTGCTGTTGGAGTGTGAGCAAAGTAACATTTATGAAGGGATTCAGGGAAACCGGCAGGCCGGACTTGAGTCCTGGAGATGGGAAGTACAGTGCCTGCACTCTGAAGGAGGGGTGTTAATGTTGCAGTTTAAAAACTGTAGTGTAAAGCACCCTTCTGGCAAGACAGTGATGGAGTGAATGATGGTGAAAGTTTTTCTTTTTCGGGCCACGCTGCCTTGGTGGGAATCGGCCAGTGTGATAATAATAAAAATAATAATAATTATTTAAATTTACTAATACATAATTGAATGCTATATTTGTTGTGTGTATGTTAAGCTATAATTAATCTCTATAAAATTGAATATTTTTGTGTTTCTGGAATGGATTAATTGTATTTCCATTATTTCTTATGGGAAATATTGCTTTGCTTTTCAGACTTTTTGAATTTAGAACTAACTCCTGGAACGGATTAAGTTCGATATTTGAGGTTCCACTGTATGTAAATTTTTTTGTTACTGGTATGTAGCTTATATGTTATTTCACTAAGAATTAATTTGTACACTTCTCTTATATGTATCATAATTTTAGTTTCTTTTATTATTTTTTCTTTTCTTTCAACACACCAGCAGTATCCCACTGAGGTGGGGTGGCCCAAAAGGAAAAACAAAAGTTTGTCCTTTCACATTTAGTAATATATACAGGAGAAGGGGTTACTAGCCCCTTGCTCCTGGCATTTTAGTCGCCTCTTACAACACGCATACCTTATGGAGGAAGAATTCTGTTTCACCTCCCCATGGAGGTAAGAGGAAATAAACAAGAACAAGAGCTAGTAAGAAAATAGAGGAAAACCCAGAGGGGTGTGTATATATATGCTTGTACATGTATGTGTAGTGTGACCTAAGTGTAAGTAGAAGTAGCAAAACGTACCTGAAACCTTGCATGTTTATGAGACAGAAAAAAACACCAGCAATCCTACCATCGTGTAAAATAATTACAGGCTTCCGTTTTACACTCACTTGGCAGGACAGTAGTACCTCCCTGGGTGGTTGCTGTCTACCAACCTACTACCTATCTTTTATTATTACATTCTCCAAAAGAATAAGAGGCATAATATTATGACTGGAACAACACAGGAATGGCACAATATCATGACTGGAACAGTACAGGAAGTCTTCAACTTACGAACACACTTGGGACCTCCTGTATTATGTATAATAATCTTCTTTCTTTCAACACACCGGCCGTATCCCACCGAGGCGGGGTGGCCCAAAAGGAAAAACGAAAGTTTCTCCTTTTACATTTAGTAATATATACAGGAGAAGGGGTTACTAGCCCCTTGCTCCTGGCATTTTAGTCGCCTCTTACAACACGCATGGCTTACGGAGGAAGAATTCTGTTCCACTTCCCCATGGAGATAAGAGGAAATAAACAAGAATAAGAACTAGAAAGAAAATAGAAGAAAACCCAGAGGGGTGTGTATATATGTGCTTGTACATGTATGTGTAGTGTGACCTAAGTGTAAGTAGAAGTAGCAAGATGTACCTGAAATCTTGCATATTCATGAGACAGAAAAAAGGACACCAGCAATCCTACCATCATGTAAAACAATTACAGGCTTTCGTTTTACACTCACTTGGCAGGACGGTAGTACCTCCCTGGGCGGTTGCTGTCTACCAACCTACTACCTAGGATGTATAATAATGATATTAATAATATTATACACAATAATGATATACACAGTACAGAAGATTCTCTATGTGTTTGTAAGTTAAGGACTTGGTGTACATAAATAACTCACCCATAGAAAAAAGAAGCCTACGACGATCATTAATGGTCCAAGTCGGACCAAAACATCATCGCGAGTTCTCCATTTTCCACCATCATAGTGACCCAAACAAGGAAATATATTGTCACTTGTTTTCTATCTTGTTTCTCCAAAAGTGTAGACGTCGCAGTTCACATGGTACAACCTTCTGAAGTACGATATCCTTATCCATCCTTCAGAATGCTGAAGCAATTTTCTCTTATTTGTGACTTGATAATGGTCTTTATTTTATCGAAACTTCATCTAAAATACAAAAAATTAATGGGAGCACACATCTGTCAAATGATTTTACCAGTAGCATAAATCGCCCATGTTTCTGCATTTAGCATACATCTGTATGTTATTCACTTAAATCAGTAATATACATCTACACATTGTGTCTACAATTAGCATACATCCACACATCTACACATTTTCTTCTACACTTGTACAAACCAAATTCTTTCCCCAAATGGATGGAAAAAATGAAAGAATATTGACAATCTATCCCTTACTGCTGTCTTTTTTCTGTCTCATAAACATGCAAGATTTCAGGTAAATCTTGCTACTTCTACTTACACTTAGGTCACACTACACATACATGTACAAGCATATATATACACACCCCTCTGGGTTTTCTTTCATTTTCTTTCTAGTTCATGTTCTTGTTTATTTCCTCTTATCTCCATGGGGAAGTGGAACAGAATTCTTCCTCCGTAAGCCATGCGTGTTGTAAGAGGCGACTAAAATGCTGGGAGCAAGGGGCTAGTAACCCCTTCTCCTGTATAAATTACTAAAGTTAAAAAGAGAAACTTTCGTTTTTCTTTTTAGGCCACCCTGCCTTGGTGGGATACGGCCGGTTTGTTGAAAAAAAAAATATGTACGTATATATATACATAATATTTTTTTTCCAACAAGTCAAGCCGTCTCCCACCGAGGCAGAGTGACCCAAAAAGAAAGAAAATCCCTAAAAAGAAATACTTTCATCATCATTCAACACTTTCACCTCATACACCCCTTGGGTTTTCTTCTATTTTCTTACTAGTTCTTGTTTTTTTTTTCTTTTGCGACCAAAATGCCAGGAGCAAGGGGCTAGTAACCCCTTCTCCTGTATATGTTACTAAGTTTAACCCTTAAGCTGCCCAAACGTAGATCTATGTTCACATGTGTAGCGCTCCAACCTTCATTTTCTCCATTTGAAAGCATGTAATAAAACACAGATCTACATTTGGAGCACTTTGCACAGATCTATGTTTGGACAGTTAAAAGGGTTAAAAAGAGAAACTTTCATTTTTCTTTTTGGGTCACCCTGCCTTGGTGGGACACTGCCTGTTTGTTGAAAGACGATCTCCCATGCATAGAAATTCAGCTCCATTCTGTTTAAGTTCTGTGCTGTATTCGACTGAAAGGCATGTAACGCAGATCATATATTTTAAATGACATTTATCTCAGAATTGAACATTATCATATCTTTAGAGAACCCTAAAACTACATTTTTTTCTGTAGAAATGGTAAAGTTTCTTTTATTGATATTGGTGCAAAGAACTGGACTTACCTCACCTCACCTTACCTAGATTGAACCTGAATGTTTACCCATTTCTCAGGTGCTCTATGATCCCTGTGGGTTTAGCACTTTCCCCCAACTAATAAAACAGTTCTGAGTGAATTGTCATTTAAAATAAAGGCTTACTCTGCATTAGATGTCTTGTTAGATAAATGGCCACAGATGCAACTAGTTATCCATGGGGAAGTAGAACAGAATTCTTCCTCCATAAGCCATTCATGTCGTAAGAGGCGACTAAAATGCCGGGAGCAAGGGGTTAGTGAGCCCTTCTCCTGTGTATATTACTAAATTTAAAATGAGAAACTTTCGTTTTTCCTTTCGGGCCGCCCCGCCTCAGTGGGATACAGCTGGTACGTTGAAAGAAAGAAAGAGATGCAGCTAGTGTGACATTTTATTGTGCCAACATTTCACTCTCCAGGATCTTTAAGCTCCTGGAGAGCAAAACATTACCACAATAAAATGTCACATTAGTTGCATCCATGTCCATTTATCTAACACTTTGTTGGTAATTCTACCGTTATTACTAATTACAGGTGCTCCTTGACTTACAATGGAGTTACGTTCTGATGAATTCATCATAAGTCAAAAATATCGTAACTCAGATATGAATATGATATGTTAAATAAATAAGTATTGTCACTGAATTAGTAAATAAACAAATAATTAGCTAACTAAATACCAGTATTGAAAAGTAATTAAGTAAATAAAAGTTACCGTGCACTTGCCACCCTCATGCTGGGTAATTATCTTAAGCTTCATCTCCAAAGTACAGTGGACCCCAGCTTAACGATCACCTCCAAATGCGACCAATTATGTAAGAGTATTTATGTAAGTGCGTTTGTACGTGTATGTTTGGGGGTCTGAAATGGACTAATCTACTTCACAATATTCCTTATGGGAAAAAATTCGGTCAGTACTGGCACCTGAACATACTTCTGGAATGAAAAAAGTTCGTTAACCGGGGGTCCACTGTAATTGCTTTGGCACCGTCATAAAGCTGAAATACCATAAGTCGAGAATCACCCGTACATGTCTTGCACACATCTTTCACCTTGTTGCTCCAGTGGCCAGAAATGAGAGGCGATGGAACATGTACACTGTGTGTGAAATGAAGAAATAGGGTGAGAGCTTTCTAAAATTTTCTCTTGCAGTTATCTGCGAAGGCCGTCCATACTCCTATGAAAGCATTGACACAGCTCACCTTAATGCAATGTTGAATAGTAATGATGTTAGTGAATACCTCAAAATCTCTCCAGATGGATTGCAAGTAAGTGTATTTTCTAGTTTTTTATTAGTTATTTACAGTTTCTTTAAACATTATTTAATTTTTTAAATTCAGCACCTCTTCGCTTAATGACGGAATTTCGTTCCTAAGACCATGTCAGTCAACGAATTTATCGCTAAGCGAGAAGCATACTATAATGGTAGTGAGTTTGTGTCAGTCATCTTTGATATTGTTTTAATGTTACCTTTGTGCCATTTATAACATTTTTAGTATATTTTAAATGTTTATACAGTAGTGTACTGTATATTGTAATAAACAGAATAGAGGAAATAAGCTCTAATATACATTATTTAAGTATGCATACTGGTCAGAGAGCCCGTCGTAAGTCCGAGTCGGCAGTGAACGAGTACATCACTAAGTGAGGAGAGGCTTTATTTTGTGAGAAGCTGAGTAATGCATCTTGGGTGTAATTGACAGGTAATTGACCTTAGAGAGCGTTTGGTTTGGGTGTAATTGACAGGTTCGCTGCGATGCATTATCCTTTGAGAGCATTTGTGTACTTTTAAAAACATTTTGTGAGGAAACAGAGTAGCACATCTTGGATCTATCTATTTTACAGGCACGCTGTGATGCATCATCCTTCGAGAGCGTTCGGTGTACTTTTCAAGTTGATTCTGGAGTGTGGTATTACGAGGCGACCATCATAACTGCTGGTGTCATGCAGATTGGCTGGGCTACAAAAGACAGCAAGTTTCTTAACCATGTATGTGTCACGGTTTTATGGATACTACTACACGTATACCAAATAAGTCAGACACATTTGCTAGAGTTTAGCAACCTTTTTTTTTTTGTTGTTGAAATGTTTTGCCTGATCTGGATCTTCTTTAGTCAGAGTTTACTAAATATTGGATACAGCTGAAGCAGCGATGAGATGAGTTGAGGGGGATCAGTCCCTAACCCTTGAGGGACTAATCACCTCACTGCCTCAGGTGTCTCCATTATTTACTCATCTCTGTTTCTAATTGAAGAAGCTGCAGTTCGGGTGGAACGGTTTGGCAGTATAGATATGCATCTGCTGCACGTGTTAGGCTAGGTTAGTCTTGTCAAGAACCAGGACAACTGTTTCCTGATTTGGGTTTAGTCATATAATGACCAGCAGTGGAAACTGTTGATCATCTGACCGAGACCTTCAGCTGGCTTACCCCTCCATCCCTTTAAAAATTATGGTTATGGCTATAATCATTAGAATCTTTCATGTTACACATGTGTCTTACTAATCCACAACTGGTCTACTCTCTTGCATGGTCTGGATGAGCATCACATCTCATAATATTCCAGAACTATCAAGTTTGGGTTAAAGATAATGTTTTCTCGGCTATCTTCATTTTGACAGTAAAATAACCACAAATTCAATGTAGTGCTACCATTGAATTAACGGCTATTCAAGTATAAATGTAAATTCTTGTCATTGAAAATATTAAAAGGTTTTCTATGCTATACTTCTCACTTTTAAATTTTTTTAAACTCTTCTCATATCATAAAAATGTTTGGATGAAACCATCCAACTATTTGACATTGAGAACGGGAATTCGTAGGAAATTTTTGCCAGATGCCTAAACCTCTTAAAATTGTCTGAAAGAAGTTGAAAATAAAATCAGATTCCTCGTCATTTTGTATCTCCCTTGATAAAGCTGTGCGAGTAAAATATTTTACCAGGGCTACCTTAACCCTTAAGCTGTCCAAACGTAGATCTATGTCCACGTGCTGGGCACTCCGATCGTAGATCTACGTTTTTTTTTTTTACATGCTTTCAAATGGGGAAAATCAAGGTCAGAGCACTACGCACGTAAACGTAGATCTATGTTTGGACAATTTAAGGGTTAATGCATGTGAAACACCCTTAAAGCAAGGAACTGGTGCTACTGTCCCCCATTCCCCAAGCACTGAATGACCTCTACGGATTAACCACAGTATGGGAGGGGTTAGAACCCTGGCAAGTGAGTTGTAAAAATCCAGGCCAGTGCGCAAGCCACTGGGCCGGCTTGCCCAGTGGCTTTAGCGTTTTCCCACAATGATAATTTAAAACAGTTACAACCTTTCATTTCCAGGAAGGTTATGGAATAGGTGACGACGAGGTTTCTGTAGCGTATGATGGATGTAGACAATTGTTCTGGCATAATGCACAGAGTCAGTCTCACACGCATCCCAGTTGGCAGCCTGGTGATGTGCTGGGCTCACTCCTTGACCTAAACAATGCTCAGGTCATCTTTTATCTTAATGGCGACCCTCTACCACCTCTCACCCAGGTCTTTAAAAATGCCACGTAAGTAAATTAAAATCCGTTTCACCCTATTTTGAAGATGTTTCCTCTGTAAATTAGGTTAAAATAGTGTGAAGGGATTCAGGGAAAACCAGTTACCCAGATTGAGTCCTGGAGGTGGGAAGTATGGTGCCTGTATTCTAAAGGATGAGTTTGGGGTATTTACTGTTTAGAGTGACATCTAAACTGTCGTATTTGTGCACCTCTGGCAAGACAGTGATGGTGTGAATTATGGTGAAAGTACAGTGGACCCCCGCTTAACGATCACCTCCAAATGCGACCAATTATGTAAGTGTATTTATGTAAGTGCATTTGTACGTGTATGTTTGGGGGTCTGAAATGGACTAATCTACTTCACAATATTCCTTATGGGAAAAAATTCGGTCAGTACTGGCACCTGAACATACTACTGGTATGAAAAAAGTTCGTTAACCGGGGGTCCACTGTATTTCTTTTTTGGGTCACTCTGCCTTGGTGGGAGACGGCCAGCATATTAACCCGTAAACGGTCCAAGCAGATCTACGTTCACGTGTGTAGTGCTACAAAAGTAGATCTACGTTTTTTTTACATATTTTCAAATATAACAAAAAAAAAGTAGATCAAAGTTGTTTTACACATTTTCAAATGTAAAAAAACAAAAAGATTACTTTTTTACATACTTTCAAATGTTGAAAAAACGTATATATACGTTTGGGATCGTTTACTGGTTAAAAAACAGTGATTGTATGGCTTTTAAAACAAAAGTGTGAGGTACAATTACAGTGAAACCTTGGTTTTTGTATGTCCAGGTTGTATTTAAAACTATAGTTATTCTCTGCTGAATGTATTTTTTGTTAATATTTCCCATAAGAAATAATGTAAATTCAATTACTCTGTTCCAGACACCCAAAAATTATTTTTATTTATTAACACATCAGCCGATTCCCACCAAGGCAGGGTGGCTCGAAAAAGAAAAACTTTCACCATCATTCACTTCATCACTGTCTTGCCAGAGGCACACTTACACTACAGTTATAAAACTGCAACATTAACATCCCTCCTTCAGAGTGCAGGCACTGTACTTCCCATCTCCAGGACTCAAGTCCGGCCTGCCGGTTTCCCTGAACCCCTTCATAAATGTTACTTTGCTCACACTCCAACAGCACGTCAAGTATTAAAAACCATTTGTCTCCATTCACTCCTATCAGACACGCTCACGCATGCCTGCTGGAAGTCCAAGCCCCTCGCACACAAAAATATTAACAAAAACTACATTTTTATAGAGAGTAACTATAGTTTTACATACAAACAAGGGCATACGAAAACAGAGGTTCCATTGTACTTCATTTCTTTCATGCATTATAAGGATAATGTAATTTACATTCAATTATACATTGTTAGACACAAAAGAAAGCAATTAGTATGCAGTGTATTTCAGGCAGAAATGAGGATCCCTTTCTATTTTTTTTTATGCTAGATTAAATTATGAATTTTACTAAGGTGATTTTAAAATTCTTGTAAAATTTTGAGTAAGAAATGTCAGACGTTGAATCTGGCAAGCATTAAATTGAAACCCAGTGATGAGCAGGGGAGCGGTGGGAACAATAAGGGAACACTGTATCAACATCCAGGGTCCCAGACTATTCAGCATCTTACCAGAAGATATCAGAAACACTGCTGGAACAAGTGTAGAAGCCTTCAAGTGGAAACTGGACAAGTATCTTCACCAGGTACCAGATCAATCAGGCTGTGATAGATATGTGGGGCAGCAGGCCTCCAGCAGCAACAGCCTGGTTGACCAGGCAAGCACCAGAGTAGAGAAACTCTTGAAACTCTTCAAAGGTATATCAAAGGAGGTGACACTTGACCCCTGCCACCACATATAGGTGAAGACATAGGATGACAGCTAAGTATGCAAGGAACTTAGAAGTTTCAGGGAGATCTTCATAAAAGATTTAGGGAAGTTTTCACAGGAGAAAATGGAGAGCTGCAGGAAAGCAACAGCAGCAGCTCCAGAAGTTTTATATAGATTGGGCTTAAGGGTGAAAATCTTGATGTGAAGAGAGTAGCTAGGAGTTACAGGTGCCCCTTGACTTACAATGGGGTTACATTCCGATGAACCCAGCGTAATTTGAAAATATAGCAAGTTGAATATAAATACGGAGTCTCCCCTACTTGCGAACAGGTTCGGTTTCGAGTGGTCGTTCGTAAGTCCATTTGTTTGTAAGTATGTATGTACTACATATATGGAACAAGTGTAGAAGCCTTCAAGAGGAAACTGGTCAAGTATCTTCAGCAGGTGCCAGATCACCAGGCTGTGATGGATATGTGGGGCAGCAGGCCTCCAGCAGCAACAGCCTGGTTGACCAGGCAAGCACCAGATGAGCCTGGCCCATGGCCAGGCTCCAAGAGTAGCTAAACTCTCAAAACTCTTCAAAGGCAAAGGTAAAGGTAGTGTAGTTTATGTACACATGACCATCGAGTAACCTAGAAGTGTACATAGGTTAAACATGTACACGAACACAGGAAAAATACTGTACAAAACGTGTCGTAAATGAACTAAAGTTTATAATGTTTATAATAAAGTTCGTAAATGATGTAAATTTAATCAAACAGATGGTGAAAAGGTATTGGCCTGAATGTGGTAGCATCTGAAGTTGATGGCACTGATTCAGGCTCCTGACGGGACTCATTACCTTTGTCCAGCTTCTTGAAGAAGCGGTCTAGGGATGTCTGGGTGGTGGCCTTCTCTTCTCTTCTCTTCAGAGATGAGATGGTAGCAGTGAATTGCATCACTGACAGCTGCTGAAACCTTGATGTACTCTTCCACATTTGAGCTCTACAATTCAATCAATGACAGCGATTCTTTAAGCAAACAAAACCCCTCTGCCATCAACTTCATCTGGAAACACTTCGGTTCTGGAACCACTTCCACTTCCTCTCCTTTTTATTCCTTTCTCTGGGTTTCCAACTCCACAAGGTCTTCATTGATCAGCTCCTTTTGGTGAGCAGTAAGGAATTCGTTGAAGTCATCTTCCTCGAGATCAAGGTCCAGCCTGCTACTGAGGGTGACTAAATTGTTGACAGCGTTTGTAGATTCTTCCTTCACTTTTGTCTCCATTGTGATGGTCTGGCACTTCTTAACACTACCACCTGCATCACCACTGCTTTTGTACTTAACACCAAACATATTGTGGGTATAATAATCACAAATAGCACTGAATTTGGGGACAGAACACAAGCACACACATATGAATGATGCTGCTCGAGTAATCTAGTACGTATTATTTACATATCGGCGCTTCCCACGCTACATTGCTGCCACAACTCGGCAGACTGCGAACTAAATCTTACGCCCAAATTTTATACTTCAGGGCAAATTGTTCATATTATCGAACGTTTAGTTAGTTTAATATGCTTATTATGCACCCCATACCCATCCTGTGGGCGGTAGTCAAAAGATTACAGAGGTACATAATGGGTCCAGGGACTGTACCCAAAGCTATGATAGCTGAACAAGTTACGAAGGTAATGAACTTTTGCAACATGAATGTTCATATGTAGGGGAGTCTCTGTAGTGAATAATATACATGTCGTTTTTCGTTTACTTGCATACTTTCTTCTTTCAACACACTAGCCGTATCCCACTGAGGCGGGGTGGCCCAAAAGGAAAAATGAAAGATTCTCCTTTTACATTTAGTAATATATACAGGAGAAGAGGTTACTAGCCCCTTGCTCCCGGTATTTTAGTCACCTCTTACAACATGCATGGCTTACGGAGGAAGAATTCTGTTCCACTTCCCCATGGAGCTAAGAGGAAATAAACAAGAACAGGAAGTAGAAAGATAAATTACTCGCAGTAAGTCAAGAATCATCACTTTTGTAATGATGAGAAGCACTTCATGGCTTCTCTTAAGCTCTGAAGAACTGCCATTATCACTACTTTTGTGCTTTGGTGTCATTATTAAGCAAAAGTAAGGGTTATTTTCAGGCCACATTAAACAGTGGATAACTGAAACTGCACAAACTGGACCCACGGATACAGGGTCTATGTACATATGTTTTTTTCTTTTTAGGTCATTCTGCCTTGGTGGGAGACAGCCAGTACATTTTTTCACTTTAGGTCATCCTGCCTCAATGGGAGATGGCCAGTATGTTAAAAACTAACAAATATTTTCCTCTATTGGCTAGGTGTGGATTCTTTGCTGCTGCCAGCTTCATGTCCTTCCAACAGTGCGAGTTCAACTTTGGCAAGAAGTCGTTCATTTACCCCCCTAAGGACATTCCCTTCCAGAGCTTCAATGACCACGCATATCTCAAAGAAAGTGAGAAGATTATATTACCCAGGTAGGTTTTAATCAGCTTTATAATTGGCAGTAGTAGCACCAGCCTTGTATGGACCAGTAGGCCTCCTGCAGTGTTCCTACATTCTTATGTTCTTAAAAGAGAGTTGCAGTGTATTATGTGTCTTTTACCATTGTATAAACCATTTTCTTTCCAGAGAGCAGAAGGCTTTACACATGATATATCAAAGTGATACTAAGAAATCTTTCTTCACAAACAATATGGTAGATACACGAATAACCCGCACATAAGAGAAAGTTGTGGTTTGACTTGGTCCATTAACTAGCCACCCTAACACACCAAGGTGAGGAAGCCGGTATATATAGGAGAGGAGGACGGGGACGGGACAAGGAAGTGGAGTAGTAGTTGTATACCTGAAGAGGGTTTTGGGGGTCAACATCCCTGTGGCTTGGTCTGAGACCAGGCCTCATGGTGGATCAGGGTCTGATCAATCAGGCTGTTACCACTGGCCGCACACAACCTGACGTATGAACCACAGCCCAGCTTGTCAGGTACTGACTTTAGTCTAAGGCTTCTCCAGTGTCTTCGTGAAGAAATCCAGGGGTCTTGAAGACAACCAGAGGTCTTGAAGACAACCAGGGGTCTTGAAGACAACCAGAAGTCTTGAAGACAACCAGAGGTCTTGAAGACAACCAGGGGTCTTGAAGACAACCAGACGTCTTGAAGACAACCAGGGGTTTTGAAGACAACCAGGTGTCTTGAAGACAACCAGGTGTCTTGAAGACAACCAGGGGCCTTGAAGACAACCAGGGGTCTTGAAGACAACCAGGAGTCTTGAAGACAACCAGGGGTCTTGAAGACAACCAGGGGTCTTGAAGACAACCAGGGGTCTTGAAGACAACCAGGGGTCTTGAAGACAACCAGGAGTCTTGAAGACAACCAGGGGTCTTGAAGACAACCAGGGGTCTTGATGACAAACAGGAGTCTTGAAGACAACCAGGGGTCTTGAAGACAACCAGAGGTCTTGAAGATAACCAGAGGTCTTGAAGACAACCACAGGTCTTGAAGACAACCACAGGTCTTGAAGACAACCAGGGGTCTTGAAGACAACCATGGTCTTGAAGACAACCAGGAGTTTTGAAGACAACCAGGAGTCTTGAAGACAACCAGGGGTCTTGAAGACAACCAGGAGTCTTGAAGACAACCAGGGGTCTTGAAGACAACCAGGGGTCTTGAAGACAACCAGGGGTCTTGAAGACAACCAGGGGTCTTGAAGACAACCAGGGGTCTTGAAGACAACCAGGGGTCTTGAAGACAACCAGGAGTCTTGAAGACAACCAGGGGTCTTGAAGACAACCAGGGGTCTTGAAGACAACCAGGGGTCTTGAAGACAACCAGGAGTCTTGAAGACAACCAGGGGTCTTGAAGACAACCAGGGGTCTTGAAGACAACCAGGGGTCTTGAAGACAACCAGGGGTCTTGAAGACTACCAGGGGTCTTGAAGACTACCAGGGGTCTTGAAGACAACCAGGGGTCTTGAAGACTACCAGGGGTCTTGAAGACAACCAGGAGTCTTGAAGACAACCAGGAGTCTTGAAGACAACCAGGAGTCTTGAAGACAACCAGGTGTCTTGAAGACAACCAGGAGTCTTGAAGACAACCAGGGGTCTTGAAGACAACCAGGTGTCTTGAAGACAACCAGGTGTCTTGAAGACAACCAGGTGTCTTGAAGACAACCAGGTGTCTTGAAGACAACCAGGAGTCTTGAAGACAACCGGGTCTTGAAGACAACCAGGGGTCTTGAAGACAACCAGGGGTCTTGAAGACAACCAGGGGTCTTGAAGACAACCAGGGGTCTTGAAGACAACCAGGGGTCTTGAAGACTACCAGGGGTCTTGAAGACAACCAGGGGTCTTGAAGACAACCAGGGGTCTTGAAGACAACCAGGGGTCTTGAAGACAACCAGGGGTCTTGAAGACAACCAGGGGTCTTGAAGACAACCAGGCGTCTTGAAGACTACCAGGGGTCTTGAAGACAACCAGGGGTCTTGAAGACTACCAGGAGTCTATTGGTAGATGAATGAATTAAATTATAAGAGGATACAATAAGTACTTCAACCATTGGAAATTTTATAACTTTGTGATAACAAATTATTAAAGATGGAAAAACATGAACATAACTCGACTCTTGTAGCTACAAATAGATAATTACAGTTGGCAGTATTGTATGTTACAACTCTTTCCTCTCCGTGACACTGTTACCCGATGCAGATAAATGGTATAAAGTGCCGACTGTTTCACCCACACTGTGGACTTTATAGTCATAACCAGATTGTTGTAACTGTCAACAGCTTACTGAAAATTACTGACAAGCCCGAAATATCCACTTTAAATATAAAAGAAAATACAAAAAATTTTGATAAAATAGTAGAAAGAGCAAATTGGAAGTAATTCAGCTGCTGATGTAGTTTGTTGATGTTTAAAATATCTTCAGGTAGGTCCTGTAAAAATTAAATTAAAAGTTCGAGTACAGAGAATCGGGTTCTAATGTAAAAATTTGAGTCTAAGGAAGAAATTAGCATGATATTAAATATAAAGTTCATGAGTGGATGAAAGAGTGGGAGAGGCAAGAAAATTTAATGAAAACAAGAAAAAATTTTGGAGTGAGTTAAACAAGACTCGACTCGAAAAAAGCCTAGAGAACGAATGGATTTGTCAGTTAAAAACAAAGTAGTGGAGTTAGTAGACGGGGAGATGGAGGTATTGGGTAGATGGCGAGAATATTTTGAGGAACTTTTAAATGTTGAGGAAGAAAGGGAGACGGTAATTTCATGCACTGGCCAGGGAGGTATACCATCTTTTAGGAGTGAAGAAGAGCAGAATGTAAGTGTGGGGGAGGTACATGAGGCATTACGTAGAATGAAAGGGGGTAAAGCAGCTGGAACTGATGGGATCATGACAGATGTTAAAAGTAGGGGGAAATATTGTGTTGGAGTGGTTGGTGGGTACCCAGGGATTGGCAGAGAGCATATAGACAGCAACCATACAGAGAGGTACTATCATCCTGTGGTAGTAGGTTGGTAGACAGCAACCACCCAGGGAGGTACTACCGTCCTGCCAAGTGAGTGTAAAACGAAACCGAATTTTTTTACATGATGTAGGATTGCTGTGTTTTTTTTTTTCTGTCTCATGACATTCAAGATTTCGGTATGTCTTGCTACTTTCTGACACTTAGTCACATACAATACATGTACAAGCACAAATACATCCCCTCGTTCTGTATTTTCTCTAGTTCTGTATTGTTATTTCTCTTATCTCTTGGGAATGGAAAAATTTTCCTCCTAAGCCATGCGTGTGTAGAGGCAACTAAATGCCAGGAAAGGGCTAGTAACCCTTCTCCGTATAAATACTAATTCGAAAAGAGAAATTTTGATTTCTTTTGGGCACCCCCGCCTTGGTGGATACAGCAGTTTGTTGAAAGAGAAAATGCAAGATTTCAGTACGTCTTGCTACTACTACTTACACTTAGATCACACTACACATGCATGTACAAGCATATATATACACACCCATCTGGGTTTTCTGTTTTTCTTACTAGTTCTTGTTCCTGTTTATTTCTTCTTGATTTTCCATAGGGAGTAGAGCAGAATGCTTCCTCATAAGCCATGTGTGTAGTAAGAGGCGACTGACATGCCAGGAGCAAGGTCAGTAGCCCCTTCTCTTGTATACATTTACAAAAAGTAAGAAGAAGAAGCTTTCTTTTTTTTGGTACACCTGCTCATTGGATATGCCATGCATGAAAGAGAAAGATGCACTCTGTATTTTGTATTTAAAAGGACTTTGTAAAAAAAATAGTGAATTATCTATTCGCATGCTGAGTATAAATACCAATATGTTGTGTGAAAATGGCTATGCTGGGTAGGTGTATTTTTTGTATAATTGTGTGTAAGTGTAGTCTTGTTTCTTTGTGTCGACAATTCTTGTGGAGCCATTTGCTGTGTAATGATTGATTTTGAGTACAGTGAGACCCGACATAAGATCATCTCGAATGCAGAGACAAATTATGTAAGTGTATTATATGTAGTGCGTTTGTACGTGTATGTTTGGGGTTGTAAATGGACTAATTTACTTCACAATTATCACTATGGGAACAAATTCTGTCAGTACTGGCACCTGTACATACTTCTGGATTGAAAAAATATCGTTAACCGGGGGTCCACTGTACTATTGTAGATCTACATGTACTGTGAGATCACATGAAGATTTGTTACCCCAAGCAAAATAGTGAAAGATTGCTTCGATGTTTATTATTTTATTATAATCGAGAGGCACTAAATCCTAACTTACAGCGTCCCTGGAGAATGTTGTGTTAAATAAAAAGAATAATAGTAATAACAATAATAATACGTTTTGAAACTATTTTATTATTTTGTCTAGATTGGTTCAGTGAATTGATTTTTATTGCTTAAATTTGAGCAAGGTGATACTCTGTTAATTTTGATGCAATAAAAAAAAATTGCATATAAAAATAATTGTTATAACTATATTATTATTCTCCTTGGGGAAGGCAAACCTCAAGACGATTTTATTTTTTAATGATGGCCTTTAGCGTTTACATATTTTACAGACATATCCAACTGCAGAAGCTGCGAGCGATGAGTGTTGAAGAAGGAGCGTGTACTCTCTGTTTTGATGAGAGTGCTGCGATTACCCTCCTTCCGTGCGCACACAGGTAATGACGTAAAACACACATTCCAAAAGATAACAAAAGTCACTGTGCTTTAGTGTGTTTATGGTCATTATACACAAATAACTCGCACATAGGAGAGAAGCTTATGTCGACATGTTCCTACTTGGGCCGAAGTTGGACTGAAACGTCTGTATGTGTTAGTAAAATGGTTGGAAGTTGACTGAAACGTCATGTATGTGTGTAAATGGTCGAAGTTGGACTGAAACGTCATGTATGTGTGTAAATGGTCGAAGTTGGACTAAAACGTCATGTATGTGTGTAAATGGTCGAAGTTGGACTGAAACGTCATGTAT